GAGGGAAAATCCTCATGTTCCCCCCCCCCCCAATAGCTAGCAATTCAAAAGAGTCCAGTGGAGCCTGAGCAGTGGGTGTTGCCTTCTGACACACTTCCGGTGATGTCAGGGGGTGTGGCATATACAAATAAGTTATGCTAATGATTTATGCTAATAAGTTCCTGCTCCTCTTTTTATATTTATTTATTTATATTTATTAATTCAATTTATACCCCGCCCTCCTCGCGAGCAGACTCAGGACGGCTTACATCACTGATCAATTTTTCTACGAAATGACCCCTGCAGCCATGACTTGGTATCCAAAGTCCTGTGAAAACCTGGCTCAGCTGGTTGATAGATGTTGACCTATTTATTTTTTAATTTCAGCTCCGGCCCCAACCTTGTAGATGCAGGCCCTGTGAGACTTGGTTCAGTTCTGCAGGGCCGGTAAGACCGAGATGTCCCACCGGGCGTATCGTTGAGGACAGTGACGGTTAGAGAGTTCACCTCTTCTCCCCCCTTCTTGCACACCCGTGATAGATTGCTGGGTGCCATCTGAATACAGTAGTTTGGCGGTTTGGGTTTTGAATTTCAATCAATCAATCAGAACCTTTATTGGCCTATCAACATACAGCAGGGAGACAAGGATACGTCCTTTACCCTTGCAAGAAAATCCCATACTCTTCTAGGTTTTGTGCCTGTGGCTTGGGAGAGATTGAAAGTACCGAACCTGTTCTCCTGTATTGTTCTTTTTACTGTGATATCCGTGCTGTTTTTCTAGAACCTCTTTATCAGAGTCGAGTAGGGCAATTTGACTACTATAGGATCATTTCACTATTTTGTTGTTCAGTCGCACAGTCGAGTCCGACTCTTCGCGACCCCATGGACCAGATCACGCCAGGCCTTCCGGTCTTCCGCCGTCCTCGGAAGTTTGCTCAACTTCATGTTCGTTGCATCTATAACACTGTCTAACCATCTCATCCTTTGCCGTCCCCGTCTTCTTTGACCTTCAATCACTATTATCTTCCCATAATCCTGAGATCATAGAATCTGTAGCTACCTTTCTCTGTTGTGCTACTAAGAGGAGAAGATTGTTTCAGTTGCAAGGGTTTTGGATTTGTAATGCTGGATTTCAAAGCTGTAATATTGATTCTATTGTATATTAATCGCTGGAAGCCGCCCTGAGCCCTGCTTGGTGGGGAAAGGAGCAGGGTATAAGTTGAATAAAGAAATACAAGCTAATAAAATTGTTTATACCCCACCTTTGTCTCTTGGTAATTGGGGACATACATGAAAGGATCCCAGGTGATATCCCAGCTAAATGTTGTCTAGACCCAAACGGGCAAAGCTTCATCAAGGCTGCTCCGTCATGTGCATACAGCCCCTTTGAGTTTTGCAGGGGGGTGGGAACAGGGGCTGTTTTTGAACGGATGGGCAGCCCAGTGCTCGGCTTCCTCTACCATAATGCTTTTTGCAGCTAAAACTGTCATTGCCACTCACTGGAAAACGACAATGGCGCCCATTTGTTCACAATGGCATAAAAAGATGTGGGATTTATATATTATGGCTAAACTCTCGGACAATCTTGCGCGATTTGAGAAGCTCCCTGCACCATCGACGTTCGTCTCTACATGGTTTCCCATTTAGGGCTGTGGGCACACGGGCAGGAAAATGCGGGGGAAAGCGTGGCTGTTTGCCCCGGGGCTAAAAAATGTGCGGTTGCTCGAGCAGACCTACCATGGAGGTCCCGTGGTAGGGGGGAGGTGCCGATCACTCCACAGTCCTGCGGCGCGGCAAAGAAGCGGGGCGCAGGGCAAACAGGGTTGGGAGTTTTTTTAACTCAAATGTGCGCATGCTCCCTTGGGTGCTTGTGCGCATCCGTGGAGATTTTGAAAAAAACACACACCCTTTTTGCGAGGGGACATGGGCGGGCACCAGAACTACCACCGGAAACGCGATCAGACGCCCACCCTTGCCCCGCGGTTTCAGGAAACTAGTACCTCCGAGGTACTAGTTTTTTACTGTGCATCTTCCGCGGGAAGCCTCGGGTTCGCCATGGGAGCTCGACGCTTCCCAGATGTGGCGGTGAGATCGCGCCCAGAAAATCTGCCTATCTTCCGTCCCTCTAGCGTGCCTAATGCTCTGTGTGACCGCAGCCTTAGATTACCTTTCCAAACAAAGTGATATACCTAAAGTGATTGATGACCTATGTAAGGTTGTGACGAGGCATACCTTTGGCTGGATCAGCGGCTAGCCATTCTGCCTCCGTTGCATGAGTTGTTGCTGTTCTCTGCAAGTCAATCAATCATTCGATCAGCCGATTATTTGTTACGGTCATAGACCAAACTTTGTTCAGTGGAGTGGGAGGGCAGGGTTAGGAGACCTATGTAAGGTCTCTTACATTACCTTCTGTTTCTCAATACATTCGTGAATTCAGTGTCCACATGTCAATTTAGGAGAACTTCAATTTCAACCACTTAATTCTCTATAAAATCTTTATTGTTCTCATGTAACAGTGTACTGTATACTGTCCCATATTATGCATGTTAGAATCTACCAAAACTTGGTAATTTATACTATCTTGGTTTTTATTTGTATTGTTTGTGTATAATTAATAAAATTTATTGGATAAAAAAGGTGAAGCACGAGAGACCATTTTATCGCAGTAGATCCTAACCCTGCCCTCCCACTCCACTGAACAAAGTTTGGTCTATGACCGTAACAAATAATCGGCTGATCGAATGATTGATTGACTTGCAGAGAACAGCAACAACTCATGCAACGGAGGCAGAATGGCTAGCCGCTGATCCAGCCAAAGGTATGCCTCATCACAACCTGCTGATTCCAACCAGAGAGTCACTCCTGGACTTAACATTGCCACATTTGAAATCTGCAGTGCCCCCCGTGTTGACTGCATTAGGCCCACTAACTTTACAGCACATTTTAAACTGCACGCACCACGTTGCGTGCAAAAGACAAAGGCCACAATCCTTCACAAAGCCAGGCTGCCTAAACCTTGTTTGAACCCATGGGATTTCATCAGCCTGACTGCCGGCCCAAATGCTCCAGTATACTAGTATACTTGTTCCAATCCAACAAACACTAGGTGTAACTAAGGTCTATGGAACTCAGTGGGATTTTGAGTTTGCCAGTGTTAACTTATTCCATTGGGTTCCAGAGCTATGTCTAATATGGTTAAATGAAAAAGAAGAAGAGTTGGAGTTGGTCTTCTCTACCTTAAAGAATCTCAACGTGGCTTCCCTTCCTCTCCCCACAACAGGCAGCTTGTGAGGGAGGTGGGGCTGAGAGAGCTCTGAGAGAACTGTGACTGGCCCAAGGTCACCCCGCAGGTTTCATGTGGAGGAGTGGGGAATCAAAACTGGTTCTTCAGATTAGAATCCACCGCTCTTAACCACTATGCCACGCTGTCTCTCGGGACAAATTAAGAACATTAAGAGAGCATTGTTGAGCTTCACGTCATTTATTCGTGCCAGAATATAAATAGTTCACTCTTCTTGGGTGCAAACAAGTTTGCCTCTCCACAGTAGAAGCTAATTAAAAAAAGAAAGAAAAAAAGACTTTGAACGTGATACAAAATCAGTGGTCCATTGATGTGTATATCGGTCCGGCCCTTCCTGTTTTCCTCTCCCCGCTCTTCATTTGAACGGCTTGAATTGTACTAAGTCTCCAAAGTCCCTCGTACACATGACCTTTGAGGACACTTGTTATATTTCTTTGCTGATAAAGCTTGGCGATTTGGATATTCACTTGGTGTTCTCCACCCCCCACCCCCCGCTTCTCTTCTCCACGTTATCCACCGGCCAGAAAACCAAATGGCAAAGACACCTTTCCTTGTTTTACGATGCGACTTTGTTCATGGCAGACAGGAGCGATGCAAACGCAGAGTCGGGATTCTGCGTGAGCTCCTCCGGCTTCCCGAACTCGCAGACCTGAAAGTCGTCAGGAAAAGAGATTGAGCAAATGTCAGTTGCATAGGTAAATGTCAAGTGAGAAGCCAGAATACAGTAGGCCTTTTCTCTGTATGAGTTTCCTGTTATGTAAACATTGCCTTGGGGAAGGAGAGTAGCAATGAAAAGCAAAGAAGGAGTTCCCCCAGGAATGGGTTTCTTCCTAGAAACTGAAAAATGCTGGGTGGGGGTCTCGGGACACTATGGCAAGGCCTCTTTATAAGAGAGGCATGTTAGCAGCCTCTCGCTTCATAGAAATATGTTGCTGGAAGGGACCTCAAGAGCCATCTAGTTCAACCCCCTGCATAACACAGGAAATTCACAACTATCCCCCCCCCACACACACACCCCAGTGACCCCTGCTCTATGCCCAGGGGTATATGAGAGTTGTTGGTTTTTCTCAGGTGGGGGAAAGAAAACCTCGATATGCATACAACCTCAGCCTGCCCCTCAATTGAGATCTTTGTCAGACACCCTCCTCTGTGTAACCCCGCTTTCACAGGCCAAGGCTGCGATCATACACACAATTAGACCCGACATAGGCGTGAATGCCGGGCGGATTTAAAGGGTGCGATCAGACAACAACATCTGGGAAGTGCCCCGCAGCCATCGGCAACCCATTCTGCTCCGCCGCAGAAGCGGAGTTAAAAGACACCAGGGAAAATTCGGTAGTAGACGGGGTTGCGACAGGCCCAGGGATCGTTTTGTAGAAAAAGAGCTAGGGGAACCCATTAGCATAACTCATTAGCATATGCCACACACCCTGACATCACCGGAAGTGTGTCATAAGGCCACACACCCCACCCCCAACGGTCCCGGCCGCCGCCGGCCTTGCAGCTCCACTGCCGAGCCCCATGAGGGGCCTAGCGGTGGACCTGCAAGGCTGGCGGGAGTGCAAGGAAGCCCCGTGAAGGCCCTCCCTGGCC